TCTCAGATAAATTCTACTAAAAGTGAGATAAAAGTTTAAAATATTAATATTAGATCTAAAAGATATATTTGCACTAAAATAGTATAAAATTCGGGTATGGTCAAAAATTAGTTATTCACAGGCCCCACGGGTGATTTTTGGGGCGTAATTTCGGATTTTACGAAAAATATTAGCGCTTTGATATGGAATTAATTCTTATAAATTAGGTGGACTGTGGACTGAGTCAAATTATTGTGACTAGAATCGAGCCGTTTGGAAGGTGTTACGCGCATAATGGGATTTCTGGAGCATTGTTTAGCTTGCTCGGCATTGGATTTGGCTTGTTCAAGGTAAGTAACTCTTCTAATCTTGGAGTTGAGGGTATGAACCCTGAATATATGTATTTCGTAAATTATTGGGAGGTGACGCACATGCTAGGTGACGAGCGTGTGGGCGTGCACTATAGAAATTGTGACATAATTGTTTATCTAGAGTTTTGTAGTTAAATGATCTTGGCATTTTCCATGCGATTTTATGAGTTAAAGAAATTAAGCTGAAAAACATATAAAATATCATGTTGAGGCTATGTATCAGTATTATTGTGAAATATTTATTTTAAATTGAAAATTTATACTCAGTCATATTCATTTCATTGCTTATCATATCTCAGTCTCTGTTGTTATTTATTGATACATCATATCATTATTTTGGGTTATTCTCATGACATTGTGAGCCATGAAAGAGAGACTGGAGAGATTGATGACTGAGGGAGGCCGAGGGCCTGATTGTGAGGATATTTTTGAGATCGGGTTGCACGCCGCAGCAGGCCATGTTGGCTTTATATATATTATTCTTATTGCACGTGAGTTGGCCGTGCAACACGTGAGTTGGCCGTGCGGATCCTTATATTATTATTGCACGTGAGTTGACCGTGCAGTACGTGAGTTGACCGTGCGGGTCCTTATATTATTATTGCACGTGAGTTGGTCATGCAGCACGTGAGTTGACCGTGCGAATCCAGATATTTATATTATGGCACGTGAGTTATCCGTGCTTATAGCGCTTGGGCTGTAGGAGCCCCTCATGAGTCTGTATACCCCTAGTGAGTGTAGTCGACTATAAACAGGGATCAGACTGCACGCCGCAACAAGTATTGTATAGCATTGAGTGATTGAGTATGCTGAGCATAGTAAGAGAGAATGCGAGACAATGAGATTGAGTATTCTGAGAGTGTGAGTACATGAGTACAATCTCTGAGATACATTGCATTGACATGCACACACGACATATATGCATAGAGATGTATTTTCCTCATGCTGTACGATATCACATTATTCATGATTTCTCACACATGTTGACAGATGGGCATAGTATGCATTTGTTTTACACGGGTTATATGGAAAGAAAATGAAACATATCATTTATTATTGAAAGGATTTTGAGAAAATTATTGATTTCAAACTTATTCATATTTTTGAAAATTTCGGTAAACGATTTGGGTTTTTCACTGATATACTTGAAAGGAAGAACTATTATTTTTGAAATCATGATTTGGACGAGTATTTTATCTTTGAGTTACTTCTGGTATTATTTGCTTTATGTTGTTATGGACTGTTGTGGACTAGTGATTTTGGACCCGACCTTGGTAGAAGCTCGTCACTACTTTCAACCTAAGGCTAGGTTTGTTACTTACTCAGTACATGGGGCCGGTTGTACTGATACTACACTTCTGTACATTGCATACAGATGTTGGCTGTTGTTGTTGATGTGCTCGATGGTTGCATGATTTGAATATGTACTAGCGTTCCTGTTGTAGGTGCCTCTTGTTCATGGTAGCCTTAGATTTATAAAAGTTCTGTTTATGTATTATTCAAACAAACTATGTTATTATTTTATTTCCGCTTAGTATACTCTATTCTTAGAAGCTCATGATTTGTACTACCAGTTATTGAGAAATGTATAAGGTTAAGATAATTATTTACTTAAATTTTTTTAATAATTGTTATTGGAATTGGATAATTGAAAGTTGGCTTACCTAGCGGGTTGGGTTAGGTGTCATCACGACTAGTTAGATTTTGGGTCATGACATCATAGAAGACTTATCAAGCATACTTAGTAGTTGTTGGTATTGTAGCTCTATGAAAAAATGTCCTGCAGATTGTCCTTTAGAGGATGATCCATTGTCTGCTCTGTAGTGGTGTTAGCAAAAGGCTTAAAACCAGTAGGCGTCACATTCTTCTTCTTGCTCTTAAAATCCTGAGGATACCCAATGATTTTGTAACAGTTTTCCTTTAAGTGACTCTTGTATCCACAGTGCTCACAGATAAGCCCTGGTTTCTTAGGTTTGAATCATCGAGTCTTCCTTGCTAACATAGTCAGAGGATCATTGTTCATGTCAACCACTCCTAAGGACTGTTGGATTTCCTCCCGAGTCACAGTGGCATAAGCCTCAATCACTGATACTACTGGTCTCCTAGCCAAGAGGTTACTTCTCACACTGCTATAACTTTCATTTAATCCCATAAGAAATTGCAGGAAACGTTGTGACCTCAGATGTTCAACATATGGTCTAGACTCTTCACAATCACAGGAAGGTAGATGAGCCAACACATCTAGTTCATCCCGTAGATCTTGTATCTTCGAGTAATAGCTAGTTACAGAATCTGTACCTTGTCGCAAGTTGAAATTTCTGTCCAGAGATGATAAATTCTCGTCAAGTTCGATATATCAAATCTCTCCTTAAATTCACTCATGACCTTCTTGGCATTTGAAGCATACACAATACTAGGCATCAATTCACTCGAAACAATGCTTCTGATCCATGATAGACTATCGCATTACATTTCTCCCATTGCTCTGCTAATTCTACTTTGTATGTCGCCTTGACACAAGTTCCCTCCACAAATCCGAGCTTGCCTTTACCCCGAAGTGTCAATTTCATTGCTCTAACTCCATATGACATAATTCTCTGGCCCACTAAGCTCAGTACAAGAAAATAGGCCTTTAGAAAGAGGAAATTTGGTCATTAAAAGTCCAGATCCGATCGCTATAAGTCAATAACGACCAAGAAAAATTCGGTCGTCACCGGTCGTTAAAAGCTCCGACGTTAAAAGTTAATGACCGATTTTCAATCCGGTCGTTAAAGACCCTTTAGGGACCGCATAATTTCCGATCGTTATACATCGTTTTTAGCGACAAGATTTTTTCCTCGTTAATGTGTTATTAACAGTCGTTAAAAGTCTCAATGCCAATAACTAATTTGGTCCTTACAAGTGCTTTTAGCGACCGAAAGTCCCTTCGTTAATTGTATAATTATATTTTTTGGCTCCAAATTTCCCTTTGCTAATGCCTAATAAACTATTTGAGAAACTTGTTATTCAATAGTTACTATGACCACATTCCCTTCGCTACTGGAAACTTTTAATAAATACAATTACAAAATATATATTTCACTAATAGTAATACTTATTTTATAAGCTTTCATACAAACACCAGACACATTTGAAAATGAACCAAATGATTGATATTCTATTAATACAAAGATCTAAGCATCACATTAGCAGAAAGAAATTCAAATAGTATAACATCATCACATTACCAGAAAGCAATCCAAATACTATAACATCATTTTTAACAATTCCTAAAAAGAGAAAAAAAATTGCAGCATATGTACATAAGACAGTGCCTTCAAACCATCCCTAACATAACAAAATTCTCTTGTTCTTCAACTTGATGTGCACTTTCTTCAACAATAGGTTCTTCAGACTTCCAAGTTTTTGATCTATTAAAGTAAAAAGTTTATGTCAGTTTGTAACAAAGAATAAACAATTAAAGAAGAAGATCAGATTCATTAAAGACTACACTGATCGCCCTAGTGAAATAATACAATCATCAGTTGGCATAACAGTAGGAATGTAGCAGAAAAATGACGCATTATATTTCCTACATTCACGGACAATGATCAGAAGACTGGTGAAGTTTTAAATCACACATCCTAGTCATACTAAAACCTGCACAACAAATTGCCTTATTCTGGCAAGCACATTCTATATAGAGTTTCATGTGATTCTACACATAAGGAGGAAAAGCGATTGAGATACAAAATGCATATAGAAACTTTTGAGAAAGAGTCGATAATGACTTCAAATCAAGTCTCCATGAAGAACCGATAATTACTTGTTCATATACCAAATTTCCCTTTACAACTCACCTTTTGGTTCTGTTTTGAGCTATATTATTTCATCAGTTCTCTGTTCATTGAGCTAGATTATGACAACTCTAGGTAATATTGGGTATGGAACTTCATTCTTGCTTATAAATTTACGTGTCTGTCTCGATGACTATATTTTTATTTAAATTCATAAACCTTAATGTAATGGAAAAAAATTCACATGAGCATTGTACAATTTCATCGCAGAGTGTAATATTAATGGCATCTAGCACACATCTGTATGCAACTTCTAGCACATGCCAGATGTATAGAAGCAAACAGTATAATGGATCAACTTTCCAATTTATTATGTGAGAGAATTCACTTTTGATAATTATAAGCTCTTCGCATTATCTAAGTGGAGTCCAAAATAATATCAACCCAAAACTATATGTATGCTATTTGGTTTCAAAGAATGCTATTTGGTATCATTCTTTGAAAGAAGCTGTAGCGTAAAAACATTTTACTCGAAGTAATGCAACTGGTTTTACTCCTCCTAAATAATATGAACTAGCACTGGTAAGATGAAATAGCTAACTTGGGAGAAGTCACCTTCAACTACTGTTAAAAACCAGATGTTACATTTGTCAAGAACAAAGTCACCATTAAAGTTGTTGAAAATTGAAATACTAGTGTTACTTGCTAACTCTATCTCATGCCAGGCAATCGAAGGAAGGAGATGAAAGAACATCAAAAAATAATTGGGATTGAGACAGAAAGCTCATTTTCATGGCACTTACAGTTTTATTTTTCAGAAACTGTTCCGTCTCAAACAGATAACGATGGACTTATCTTATTTTACTTATGCATAAATGGAATATTAAAATTCTCAAGACAATAGTTCAGAAAAAATCAAATGCTTGATAATTGGGCGTAACATGGGATCAAACTGCTGGCAGCTTATCCATTTGGGGATGTAGTTAAATAAGTTGGCAGGATTTGCAAAAATATTTTTACATACTGCAAAAAAGATCAGCACAAGAGTGATAGAATATTCCCATCATTCTAATCGGTACTGATTATCTCAACTCTCAAGTACATTTATAAATTATTCGCTGTGAATATGTTGGTTTTTGATAAAAGAAACTAAGAGTGAAGCATAGACAACATTCCCAGAAATCATCTTCCTCTATATCTACAGGTCAATATCAAAAACCTCCATTGAGGAAGGTTCCAAGTAATACATACAACAATGGGATTAAAATCAACTCAGTATTAAATGTCCCTCCACCATTTTTTTTTTTTGGTTTGAGCTCTATCTTTTCCACAGGCAAGGAAAAGTACAAGAAGAGGTGATTAATGTAAAATTGTATTATTTTTAAGTTTTAGATAAAGTATATTTTGAAAGGTGATTAATAGGATTTTTAATCTACTAACCTGTTAAATGCTTCAATCTATTGTTCACTTGAAGATGATGATGAAGCCTGTTTAAACACTGCACTTGCAAGTTGTGTATATTTACTCTTTAGAACTTCGCATTTACTCTCTAGCCCTTCCATGCGTCCTTTTAGTTATTCATTTTCTTTTTCAGTAGCACTCAGCTTTTCCAACAATGCAGCTTTTGAGGAGTTACCACCTTTTAACTCCTTAGCAGTAATTCCACCACCAAATCCAACTACATGACTCTTGCGTTGAGGTCCGAAGCACCTTTCTACGACCTCAATGTTTGTAAGAGACGATTCAGATTGCACAAGTTCTTGGATTTTTGCCTATAAATTACAAGACTATTGGACATAATACAACACAGAAAATAAAATGATGTAAAATAAAATTTAACAATAAACTTACATATTTTTCATTGGTTTCAGGTTCGACAAGCTTGTCGTCCTTCTTACGAGTCTCAAAAAAGATAGTTGCCATATCTGGGGGGTTTCCGTCTTTGCCTCCCTTCACATTTAAATAAATAAGTCACATAAATTTTTTAACAAAGATGAGGTTTCTTAATAAAAATTGCAATATTTACTCACCAATTCATAAATGATCTCTCGAATAGGCTTACTACCCGTACGATGAGGCATAGTCAACTTAGACCTATTGATCGAGTTTCTTGTACTTGTTTCCTAAATTAACAATACGCCACCAAAATTATAATTAGCCACTTAATATAAGAAGATGTTAATAAATAGTTATCAAACCTTACCTTAAATTTTTCAGTTAAAAAATGCTCTTTGACCAGCCATTCCCAATCACTCTTGTCTACCCCCTCTGGCACATCTCTTAAAGCATCGCGGAATGGCTTATACTATATGTTCTTGTGCATCGATCCTCTCCAATTATTCCATAACTTTCACATATGTTTCAAGACATGATCTTGTTGATCATTTATGTTATCACTATCAAATTTGTCCTATATTATTTCACAAGTATCATTAATAATGAAACTCAAAATTTTCAAATAAATTAGAAAAATAAAATATTAACCAATTATGTGTATCACAGGAGATTATAAAGCTCATAATGGTTATGTGAGTTCTAATTTATAAAGAGGGCATATTCCTTAAAGAAAAAAGTGAAGCAAGCATCAGTTGATATTTGGTTCTATTTGACAGGCAAAAGAAAGATACTTATGCACAAATATACCTGCAACAGTCAAAATGAGAGGTTAGACAAATTTGAAGCAGCAAATATGCATGAGTGAATATTAATAATAGAAGAATAGGTGTATGCCATGATTAAAATGAGGAACGAATAGTAAATCAGTTATAAGTGCATCTAGAGAATCTAAGAAAGTGTGGCAACTATTACATCAAAATCTCCAAATATAATGCAAATATTTTTTGACACCATTACATTATTAGATTAAGTTGAAATATAATAACCAATACACCTCTTCATAGTGAACCCAATACAGTAACATGAATAATAATAAAGTACTAATAAATTAAAGATTGTGACATTTCCCGAAGATTTGCTCGACAAAAAAGTACAGGCATTTCTTTAGCTGCTGACTAACAAACATGGTTTCGAATACATACTCTGCGTATCAAAATTACGGTGAGAAGCGCAAATATAAAACTAGTACCTAGTATGTTGTAGGATAGAATAAAGGAAAAGCAAAAGCAGAGTGTTACTTAGTCATTTGCTGAAGCATTAACAAATCATGATCTATGGAGCAGCCAAACTTTTTAAGTGCTTCTCCCTATTTGATAATGATAAATAATGCACACAATATCTTTCACAAAGATAATACCTGATCCAAGAACTATGTAGATATTGGTCTTTTACAATATCTACTTTTACTCCTGCATAGGCTAAAACATGATGAATTTTATTTACATTTGGAATTGACACCTCTAATTATTTACGCTGGAGTAGTTCTTTTTCAGAAATAAAAAAAGTTTCGACAAGTTCACTACATTCAAAAACTGCAGACTAGTACAAAAATCTAACATATTTGTAACCTTTGTGTTGTATTATGCATTCACGAATTACAGACTAGTATAAAGTCACAACTCACTTAAATTCTTTAGTTTCCAGTTTTGTGAAGCATTTCATTCACTTAGAATTAAACTCGCAATATAAATGAAAATAACTTCAAGCGTACGCTTCAAGAAGAGTCATGGTTTTAGTCAAAAAAAAAGAAGAGGAGAAAAGTCATCAATACATGCCTACAACAGTAACAAGTGCCTATCTCTGTCTTGACTGTACAATTGCAATTGAACTTTCAATATGGTAAAACCAGCCATTCAATGAATGATGTAAGCTCACAGTATTTCCTTTTCATTTGTGTTAAAGAAATGGAGAAGGCAAATCAAGATAGTAATACTTTAAATTCTTACATTAATAGCTTGCCACATGTGCTCCAGCTTATATTCTTCGATTTCCGTCCATGAGTGTATGCGCAATGGGCACATATTACGATCACGAACTAATACACCTAAGTGTCTCGTAAATAAGGCATGATGCTTCCCAACAACTCGATTGTGGTAAAAAGTGACTCTCAACTTTTCTCCTGCTTCGAGTCCTGCAACTTTTTTACACCTGTTTTTTCCTCACTTTTTTGGCCTTTTCAGATTCATGTGACCCTGTAAATCTCAATTAAGTCAAACATATATAAAAATCCAGTACAATAACAACAACAAAAATTTACAACTTAAGACAATAATATACTTATTTCGCTTCTCTGAGTGCCTTGCATCGCTTCTTCATTAGGGAAGGAAGCATCACATTCCAATATTGGATCAAAACTAGGAGGCCCAAGACTATCCTTCTGAGCTAGCTTATTCTGATTAGAAGTTACTGCATTATAGTTTTTATTTTTGCCAATCGAAGTTCTCTGTTCAACGTTTACTCTTACTTTTTTGGCCTTTCATATTCATATGGACCTGTAAATTACAATTTAGTCAAACAAAAAAAAAATCAGTACAATAACAACAACAAAGATTACAACTTAAGAAAATAATATACTTGTTTTGCTTCTCTGAGTGCCTTGCATCGCTTCTTCATTAGGGAAGGAAGCATCAAATTCCAATATTGGATCAAAACCAGGAGGCCCAAGACTATCCTTCTGAGCTAGCTTATTCTGATTAGAAGCTACTGCATTATAGTTTTTATTTTTGCGAATCGAAGTTCTATGTTCAGCGTTTACTCTTACTTTTTTGGCCTTTTCAAATTCATATGGACCTGTAAATCAAAATTAAGTCAAACAAAAAAATCCAGTACAATAACAATAACAAAAAATTACAACTTAAGACAATAATATACTTATTTCGCTTCTCCGAGTGCCTTCCATCGCTTCTTCATCAGGGAGGGAAGCATCACATTCCAGTATTGGATCAAAACCAGGAGGCCCAATACTATCCTTCTGAGCTAGCTTATTCTGATCAGAAGCTACTACAATATAATTTTTATTTTTGCCAATCGAAATTCTCTGTTCAGCGTTTACTCTTACAGAACCAAAAGCTCTGAAGCTTTTCCCTCGTCCCCTTGCTAAGGCACCAAGTGGAACGTATGCATGCTTAACAGTCTTCGAAGTTGATACCATTTCAAACTTCTGAGATTTTGATGGATTCATGTCAGCCTGATAGAAACAAAAATAGTTGATTAATAGATTTTCATGTCAATTTCATCATATATGAACATGTGAAGGTGTAGGAAACAAACTAGAAAGTTAAATGGCAATAGACAACAGTAATGAATAGAATTGACAGAAACATAACACATGAAAACTTAAAGATAACAAATATTTAGTGAGTCAATCAATTATATATGAACATACAATCAGCTAAGAAGAAATCCACTGGTAGAGTTTTAGAAACGTTTTCCTTTCCTGCAACTTAACCCGTAAATCAAATAGTTTTTAGTATGGAACTTTCATTATAATAAAGGAGTTAACAAATTAAAAGCAGGTGTGATAGAACTCCAAACCTTCTTGAGTTCTTTTCCTTTTTAGGTGTGAATATATATATATATATATATATATATATATATATATATATAAACACATATATACAACCAAAATTTATTAGTATAGCAATGCAAAAGGAGAAAGAAACAAACATAAGCAAACAAAAACATATTAATCACCTCTATGAATATTAGTCAATCCAGTTCTCAAGAACATTTTTAGAGTCCATTTAAAAAATTTCTCATACCCAACATTCCACTGGTCTATAATCCAAGTAAACAAGTTATTCTGTCAAAAGTAACATCCGGTTGGAGTACCTGTGTAGGCAAATAATGTCTTTTACCTTTTAGTTTTCTGGCTCGGCTAGGATTTCACTTACTTATTAATGACCAATGCAGTTAGTATTTAAATTAATACTGTCCTTTTCATTTAAATGGTGTTATGTTTGATCTGACTACAATACTGGTAATATAGGTTTATCTAGAAAAATGGGGATGGGTTAAATATAGATTTTCATCTTAGTGGTATTTTGAATTTTGTCTACTTGCATATTGGCTTTGCATAGACTATCAGGAGAGTGATTTAGAAAGAAGGGAAGATCAGGTTCACAGTGTACGGTATATATGAGTTTAACATATATTTTCGTTTGTCTTGAGTTAGCTCTGTATGGTTGGCATCTTAATACAAGTGATTTTTCAAATGGATTTGAAAGTTGAAACTTTTTCTGCTCAGGTTCCTCAGCTTTGGGAACTGAGTTCAGATATTATCTGGTTTGAAACGAGGTTGGATGTGGTGGCATAATTTCTTTTGACTGCCCTATTGTCTATTTTCCATGGGAATATCTTTGAAGTTGAAAACAAAACTCATTCTACTCTTTTTCATGTGTATTCGAACAGATATCACTTGCATATTTTAACGGACAGCCAAAACTTTTAATCAGTACAGTAGTTGTTTCGACTGGTTTTGTAGTGGATATATACATTCGTGCAAGAATGAATTTCTTCTTACCATGCAACTCAGAATGAGAGATAGAGGGANCTTAGCTTCCATAATTGCAAAGTGAAAACAGTTAAAACAGGAGAGATTATGTTAGTCAAATATGAGGTAGTATTATTTTGGTTGTCTAGTAAAGTATGCTTTTGTTTATGGCTCAACACTTTCAAGATAGAGGTAGATGCATCTATAGTGTAGAACATATTTCTGCACCTGGGATAGAAAGGGTTAGACTTTTGGAGGGTAGGGTAAACGAAAGATGGAGCTTTGTGTTCATTCCTAAAGAGTGTATGTAGATTTAACACATTGCAAATTACTTATCTTTGTTCTTGGGAAGTGAATTTTAAGTATACATCTTCTTAAGGTTATTTGTGAGGTAGCATTCAAGACAATTCTAAGTATACATCTTTTCCTAATCATGTCTTCAAAAATTTCAAAAAAAGAAAAAGTCTCTACATCATTTACATTCAGTTCAAATTCTTGAGTTTAAGGAAAGATATATTCTTAGCATATCCATATTCTCACAGGCTTGTAAAGAAGTAGAAAGGTCCAAAAGGAATAGATAAGAAAAAGGAAGAGGGGAACAAGGATTGTACACAAATTCAGAGGAGCATGACAAGAAGCTTAAAAACCACTAGATGTCTAACTTAGTAGTCAAACAATGGGATACGAAAATTATGTATCTTAGAAAGAAGCAAGTTCGAGCAAGTACATACATTATACGAAAGCTCCACGTCCAATAAAATAGATTTAGAATCGCATATGGTCCATTAACCACTTTACAAAGCATTAGATACCTCTACGAAAAATGAAGACACAATTCTCCACTAAAAGCTGGCGACCTTATGTGAAATTAGAACTAGACAAATGCAAATTTTGGCCAACCACTTTTAGTCTAGAGGTCAAGATAGACATGAAGGAAAAAAATCAGCTGCATTAGATTGTTATATGAAGCTTAGATACAGAAATATTATACACTACAGGGACATCTAAGTGACATTACTTGTTGATATAGCGATATGTTTCCTTTAATAAGACCAGTATATTATTCATATGTGCAATATATATATACTCTGTTTCCCCCATCCTCTGAAAAAAGAAACACAAATAGTTCAGTCATGCCCCATTACTTGAAAACAAGGTAAACCAACCCCCTCCCTTCCCCTCCCCCCACCCCCCAAAATAAAGGAAGTTAGAAAAAAACGGTAGAAAAGGAGAAATCTTTCTAATACTGAACAAATAAAACCATACGGATATGTTCAAATGAGTGGCTAAACCAAGAAAAACTGGCAAGAGCATAAGTATATACTTTTACCATACATAGTATGTTCTCCAAATCGATTGATCAGTTATGCTATTAAAAAAAATCTCCTTTCTTTCAAAATCAAACTCAATCCACATATATAATCTGCTTTACAAGATGAATACACATATTTGACATATAAAATTAAGGCGAGCAAATATCAATCAAACAAAAAAGAAACGTTTATCAGCAATACTCTTAAAATTTGGATGTAATTATATATTTGAAAGATATGTAATTCTAAGAAGAAATCCAATATTTGATAAACACAGAGATAATTGATACATAATGAAAGCACACAGGTTGAATAGAAGTTTACAGATTACCTTGACAAGAAGGAAAATAAAACCCTAGGTTGTAAAGAAGAAGCCAACTTGTGATTCTTTGCAGATCTTTGATAGCTCAAAGCTAGCTACGTGCGTGTATTCTTGTAACTGCAATTTGTCTCGTTCTCAATTGATAAAACAGAGAGAAGTTATCTTGTTCTCAATTTTGATAAAACGGAGAGAAGTGTTTTATTTAGGAGGGGTGGTCACGAGAGTTGAGGGTTGTGGGCTGATTGTGGATTGGGTAGAAAATAAAGAGGGAAAAATTGGCGCCTATTTATTATTTGTCTTATTTCTTATAATATATTTTAACGTCCGGATTATTTTAATTTTTAAGGACCGAAAATTATCCCTTCGTAAATATAAACAAAAAATTAGACTTTAACGATCGAAAAAAATATGGTCGTTATACATACACTTTTAACGACCGGATTCATATCCCTTCGTTAAAATTTTGTCGTTAAAAGTCAATATTCTTGTAGTGTTGAGTGGAATCAAAACTAATCCAGGAGCATCTCCGACCTGAAGATAAAGGGGATGATTGTGATCAAGTGATGTAACTTCATTTTCCGCCATGACTTGTTCATATTAAAGCCCTAATTTTGCCAACTTTGCCGGAATTTCACGTCGAAACAGTCAATTGAGAACCTAATTTCGCTAATTCCACCGGAGATTCACACTGGAACAACGAATCTTAAGATCGGTGCTCTGATACCAAGTTAAATTGAGCTCAATTATGACCAAAATTGAGAAAAAAATAGAATCGTATACATGCATTCTAGAAAGAAGAAATTGGGAAGAAGAGAAAAAAGATATTCTCATTATACAGATGAATATATAAGTTTCAGTGCTCTCAACTCTCGCGTGCACTGCGCGTGCAATCTTACTAACTCATTAACAACTTATTTCAGCTGCTCATATATCTCCAATATAAAAGGAAAAAAGTCAAAATTGCCCCTCAACTATTAAAAATGGGACAAATTTACCCTCAATTTACAAATGGTCCCAAATGTATCCCTACTATTAATAAATTGAGCCATCTCCGCCCTTAAAAATTAATAGACCTTCATTACTTTAATCTATTTTAAAATTATTTAACTGATGACAAGGATTGCCACATCGAAATAAAACTTGCCCCACCTTTTTTTTATATCTTCTATCTACTTCTTTATCTCAAAACAACCATCACTTATTTTGATTCCAAAAATGGTGCATACCTGATCGCTTGATTTCGAGAAAGTTGTGGCTATGACTGATGGAGATATTTAAATTGAATGCTTTATTTGGGTGTTGGATTTGGGGATAAGGCATTGGTTAAGTTTTTATAATTTTATTGGAAAATATGGTGGAGAAGAAATTGATTGTAATAGCCGTTTTTTTTTTCTTCCTTAAAATGAAAGACTAGATGTCTAAAGACAGAATGTTTCATAATTCACATCCGATTTACTGTGGCATTTCTCAAGATTTTCATTTTTGTGTCTGTGCTTCTTATTAGATACTATTATTTAAGAAGGATATGCTAATGCACATAATTTTTAGAATTTAGATTGGAGTTAAATGGACAATCTAAATCGAGTTGGAAATTATAAGACTCGTTATTGACTGCAGTTTAATGTTGGGGTGAAATGTGAGTATCTCACATATAATCCTTCAGTAATTAAGCCTAGCAAGAATTGTTTTGATATGAAAAAGAAGACACAAGCATAAGAAAAGGATGCGATATGTTTTACTCCAACATGGCAGTCCATATCATTAGTTAAATAATTTTAAATATATTTGGGACCATCTATAAATGAAGGCTAAAGTTATCCTATTTTCGATAGTTGAAGGGACTAACGAGGGTTGTGATGGAGTGATAAGTACTCCTTAGTCCTTAACCTTGAGGTCTCAGGTTCGAGTCCCTGAGTATAAAGTTGCCTTTGTTAGGGAGCATTTTACCTCCGATGTGGGACTTCTCGGTGCGAATCCGTATTTAATCGGGCCCAAATATGAATACCGGACACCGGATGGGAAACCAAAAAAGATAGTTGAGGGGCAATTTTTGGCCCTTATTGCATCTGCTAAATCTCACATATAAAGTAGCAATGCTTAAGATCCTCAAAAGTTTTCGTACGGAAAAAGTATGGAGTAGGTTGGATCTTTTTTCTCTATGAGAAGACAGTTGTGTATACGGTGGAATCCGTGGCGGATTCACCCTTTATGGCGGGTGGTATGACACCCGCTAAGTTGATAAAATTATTATATATTTATGTAGAATTTTTTTTAAATTAAGTTAAATATTTGATTCTGTCCAGTCGTAAACTAGATAAAGGTGTCATGTCTGGTAGACCTTTTTGAAAGTTTTTCTCGTGTGTAAAATTCAAGTTCGAATTTATCTTGAACCTTGTCTCATTTTCCATTTTCATTCTACCTTTTATTTCCTTGTCCCAGTCATTTTCTTTTTTGGCTACCTCCCAAATTTTTGTCGTTTATTATTTTTATATGTTTTTTCTCTATTCTATTATTTTATCTGCGATCTTTAGCAAGAACACTTAAAAAAGAGCCTCCAAAATTTAAAATTTTCATAAAATAAGCATTTCTCTTAATCTCAAGTCTTTTAATTTTTTCTTTCAAAATAAAAAAAATGTGGGTCTTGGTCGAAATTTTGGATTGAAATCAAATTAATTTTCATAATTGTTTTTTATTATAACATAAAAAGTTATGCTATTCTATGATTCTTAAATACAATTTAAATCTCTTTACTATTAAATTTTTATGAATATTTTGGAGGTATTGCCTAAAAAATTATGAGATTTATAATTTTAATTTTTGGGATCCTGTAGTCATCTAATTGTGCATTTACTTATGAGGTATAATTTATTTATTGATAATATTTTTTTTATTCTGACTGGCGAAATTCCCTTATGAAGATGTTATTTTACTTGTGCAAGTTTATTTTTAGCATATAAAAAAAAGATGTAGTTCCCCGGAGAAAATATTGATTTTACTTGTATTGTTAATAATAAAAGCATGATTCCTTCTTTTAAATGCTAATTACATTTGATTCTTGATGTTTGAGATGTAGTTTTCATACAAAAACAATAACATACCCGGTGAAACTCACAAGTAAGGTATGAGAAAGAGATTCAATTTTCATATTTGAAAATAAAAAATACCAATTAAATTGCCGAATAAGCTAACAAAATTAAACCGAACAAACGCTTCTAACAAACTCTAGATATTTAATATTACAAGGTGTACATTAAAGGAAATTATCATACCCGACACCTTCAAATCTTAGATCCACTTCTGGGTGGTATGGTTGCTCCTTCAAAACTATAAATTACAGCGAACGACAATGTAATTCAGAGTGCTCCCTATCCAATAATCTATTATGAGGCTCAAATTGGAAATAAAAAAATAAAAAAACATTTACCATTCCACCACCCCTCTAGTATACACATTAAGCTAGGGGTTCTTGTTCCACTACAAGTAGGCATGTTCATGGATCGGATTTGGCATATTTTGGACTATCCGATCGGATTTCAGATTTGATAAATTGCAATCCGAATCCAAATCAAATTAAATTCGATTCTGATTGGATTTTGATATTTGGATCGGATAAATATTTCGGATTACGGTTCGGATTGTAAGCCTTATATATTAAGATGCTTATTCCATGAGTTCATCTCTTAGTGATCGGTGTAGCATAACCATCAACATACTCTATAAAGAGGGGATGTAACAACTGATCCATAAAGATTTACCCAGCTAGAACGAGAAGGAAATACATACTCTATAAGGATAAACAACATCAACAATTCAATATGGATTCAAAAGGTTAAACTGAATAATATTAGTTGATAATTGTAGCAACATAACTAAACAAACCCAGAAGGTTAAACTGAATAATACTAACTGATAATTGTAGCAACAGAACTGAATAAACTGCAGTACCAACAAGGCAACAGATCAACAAAATAGATATAGGTATTCCACTATTTAAAGGATGAACTCAAGAAGGCAAAAAAATATTAAAGAGTTCCAACTTCCATCTCCCTCCCAATTCTAGATGTACTACTCCCCTTTGTTTCTGCAATAACAAATGAAAGGTTTAGACTTTAGTGAAAAAATTGAAACATAAAATCAAAGACCAACACACTGGATAAAAAAATAAATAGTGAAAGAATTATACCAGCAAAATATAGTTCAATAATCTTCATCAATACTATATGTCGACGATGCAAGGCTCTTTTCCAATATTGACCATTTCTATTGAAAGTTTAAAACCACACATATGTTAACATAAAAAGAATCCAAATAAACATACAAATAAGTTATCAAATAGATATATCAAAATAAAGAATAAGAGAAGAAAGATAGTCTTACCAGTTCAAGTTGTTCAAGATTATCTAAATCTTCCTCAATTTTAACCGGAGTTGTTGATTCGTTACGAAGCCAATCTTGGACACACACAAGAGCTTGAACCAACCTAAGAGTCAATGAACTCCTAAATGGATCAAGTATGCGTCCTCCAGTACTAAAGGCCGATTCAGATGCAACACTAGAAATTGGTATGGTTAGCACATCACGTGCCATATCAGCAAGAGTGGAAAATCTAGGTGAGTTCAACTTCCACCAACCCAGAACATCAAATTTATCTTTTTCTTCCTCAACATCTTCACTCAAATATTTATTCAACTCTGTTTTTGAGTCAATACCTCCACCACTCTTATGCCTCTTTAAATCTAGCATGAATTTTGAGAATGAAGACGGAGAAGATGGACATGAAGATGAAGTTGAAGATGGAAAAGATGAACACGAATCACCATTTATTTTGACATACTCACTGAACAAAGTTTTCATGTATGTCTTCACTTCCTCTTATATTTTCACACCTTTTGTTTCTCCAAACATAGCAGCAAGTACGAAAGAAAGAGAGTAAAACTTGTGGCGTGGATCCAACACACGTGAAATAAATATTATCTTGTTCATCTTGTGAGGATCACCCCAATACTTGTTAAATTTCTCTTTCATGTTCTTTGCTAATTCTCGTACGACAACATCTTCAGTTTCCATCAATTCTTTCAAAGAAGAACCTACCACACAGATCTCAAGAAAATGTACATTAGATGTAATATAAAGTGTGCCCGATACCTTCAGGGTGAGTTCATAAAATATTTCAAGAAATTTCACAATACATCTTACACTTTCCCAATCACTACTTAAAAGTGGACCTACAGGCTGGCCATCCTCACAAATACAATTAGAAATACAATGCATCAATCCATAATCAATATCACAATATTTTGTAAAAGCATCCTCATATCGCAACCTTCAACTAGTCTACAAGGTCATCACGTTAAATAAAAAAGAGTTCATCGTCTAATCCATAAAACAACACTCCGTTTAAGAAATTATTGGTTTTTCCTGTTTTATTAATTACTAACTTTAAATAAGATTTGAAATTAAAGGAGGCTACACCGACTTCATTATTTCCAATTTTCCTATGTTTGGTTGGTTTAAATATCTTAGAAAATATTTTTCTCATGAACTTATTTTCCTTTAATTGAAGGAAAATATTTTCCTATCAAGAGAAGGAAAAATATTTTTCAAAATTCTTTTTCAACCTTCCCCACCTATTCCCCATCCCTACCAACTCCCACCAACCTACTCCCTCACCCCACTATTGACCCCACCATAAATAAAAATATTATTAATAGTACTTTCTTTTTTATGTTATAGATAGATTTTTTTTCCCCAACAAATGAGTATTTTCTTTTCATTTAGGGGAGCAAGGAAACATGTGAATTTGGGGGAAGGGGGTGAGGAGAGTACCATAAAAAAATATTTTTAACTCTCTAACCAAATAATAAAAAATATTTTCTGAAAAGATTTTCCACTCACCAACCAAATAAGAAAAAATAAGTGATAAAACCACTCATTTTTCGTGAAAATATTTTCCACCATACCAAACACACCCCTAATGTTGTTGTATTATCCAAAGTGAGGGCTATTTTCCATTGTCAACTATGCTTCTAATCGTTGGACTGGACAGTCAACGTACATCACTATCCTTTTTGTTATTTTCTGAATACAAATTAGTGAATTTGTGAGTTAGAAAAGAATGTTTTACACAGAGAAACAAATGGCCATTGTGTTTCCTTAATTTTGTTTTGAAAAACCCCACATTTTGCGTTCTCTCTCAAATTAGTCTACATCCCTCACTCAAAAAAATTCTTGCTCTTTCTGAGTTTCTTATCTTTGTTTTATTCATTCCCATTGCTTCTCAAAATTCTACCTTTTCCTTCCAAGTTGGACATTTTATCATTTTCATAGGTATTAGAAAAGGTCAAAAAATATTGTACCCTTTTCATTTCTTTTTTTTTTTCTTTTAATTACATGATATATATTTTACTCAGTTTTCGTCTCATAGGTATTGGCGTGGTAAAAGGTTGTACCTTTTCAAATGTATTTTCTTGTTTTATTGTGAAGTATTATATTTATACCCAGTTTTTCGTTCTCACAGGTATGGAAAATGTAAAAAGTTGTACCCTTTTTTCGCGTCTTTCTTGTTTTACATGCACTTTTTAGCAGTGCATTTTGTTGTTTTTATCATTTGGTCTTTGCATCTCATGATGTACATCCGCATTTCTTGTTTGCCTATTTTGCAGAAATTAGGAGCCAATGAGTTTTCTGATATTGGGATTCTGTAGCTTTGATTTTGAAGTTTTATAATCATGCATTGTATTAAGCAATGAGCCCCCTATTTTCCGCTTTTCACAGTCAAAGTCAAAGGTTTGTTGGTGGCAAGATCGGCATGCCTTCTAGTTGTAGTTGACTCTGATTTTTTTTTCGTATTTTAACTTTTTGTTTGAAAAAAAAAACAGAAAGAATCGGATGTGAAAGAATTTCAATTCAAACATGGGTTTGATTCACACTCCATGTTCTGAGAAAGATTTATCATCCGAAAAGAGGAAAAAACGGCCCTAGAGGAAGAATCTTTATACGAGTTCGAGGCGTGTAGCTTATAGTTACAGTTAGCCGACTCAATAGAAGAATGAAATAGGTGGGATCAGAGAGGGAAGTGACATCCAACTTGGGAAGCTCGGTACCACTAGTAAGAGGAGTGGCCAAAGGACGAGAATCAAGCATGTCTGCACGAGGCAAGAGATCTAGGGCATATTTCCGCTGACGAAGGATAANAGAGGGAATCATTGGCTACCAGAAAGACTAGAACTCAGGAATAAGGTGGGATTCCTGGATCTAGTGGCCGGTGAATCACTGATCAAAGAGCAGATTTTAGAGAGATTCTTCATCGATCTAGTGGGACTTTGTCCGTGTCAACAAACAATTCGAAATACCTCGACTTTTTTAGAACAGGTCCGAGTCAAATAAACAACCTAGCTTATTTCATGTTCGATTTTCATTAGCTCTCTCTCTCTCTAATTTCACCTAAAATGAGGAGGTTGACATAATGTATTAGATTTATGGTTTGTTTCAATGTACAAGTTGGGTTCTGAGATTAGTTGCTATTTACCAATACAAATATTGATAGATCCCTTTGCATCTATTGCAAATTGTAATGTTACTCCATTTAAGTTTTTCTCTTCTGAAAACTCTATGTTTCTTTGGTAATGTTGCTTTCTTTTGGTTATTAATAGGAGTTAAGTTGATCATCCAGCTCTGGATACTTCTACATTATTCTGTATACAAGTGTGTCGAGTTAGTCGTCTAACTTTTTTTTGTGCTCATTATCATCACCTGAGAAGTATTGAGGAAAGTAATGTCTGATGACTTTATCTTTAATTCTGTAGATTGTTATTTTTTTTTACTTGGGAATTTCGATCAAGCTAGGAAGTCCTACAAAAATTTTGGCTGGGAGATGGGAATAACATATTCCTGTCCCTTTGCCAATTTTGATGATTCAGATACTCGGTTCGAATCTTATTTAGTGAGAACAATGAGTTTTGGAAATGATGGTACGAGGACCACGTTACATCATATTAATTTCAATGACCAAAATTCTCAGCAGTCAAAAATGCAGAAGTCTCTCAGTTCTGGGAAGTTGATCCTTGAAGGAACTCTTAGCTATAAAAGGAGGGAACTGGAGGCCGAGATTGGAGTAAAGACTCCTGTGTTTGTTGCGGGTGATAAGACGTCGAATAGATCAGACAGCCTCACGAGCAGTGAAGAGGTTTCTGAAAGTTTACTACATAGTTTGTCTGACCAGACTACTAACATACTACCATTAGTATATGAGAAACAAAGAGATGAGGCTGCAGTAAAGTTGCAGAAAACGTACAAAAGTTTTCGTACTAGAAGACGGCTAGCGGATTGTGCTATTCTAGTTGAGCAGAGATGGTATAGTAGTTTAAACATTTATGATTAGGGGCATTTTTTCCCTTAATGCAGATTCGTTTTGTTCCTAATTTTGAGTGAAATTTACAGGTGGAAGGTATTAGATTCTGTTGAACTCAAGCATAGTTCTATATCATTCTTTGACATTCAGAAACCCGAAACTGCGTTTTCTCGTTGGTCAAGAGCTTTAACTAGAGCTGCTAAGGTATGGATTGATTTTACCATTTAATAAATTCCATTTCAGAATCTTTCTTTCTTTTGGTTAAGTTGTGATATTTAGGACTTTGTCTGCATTGGTAGGTTGGTAAAGGTTTGTCCAAAGATGAAAAGGCATGTAAGCTTGCTTTACAGCATTGGCTTGAGGCAGTAAGTACCCTATTCTCCACAAAGTTTAGATAACAAATTTGAGAATGTCGGATTTTCATTGATATAATGATTGTGAAAACAGATTGATCCTAGACATCGTTACGGTCACAATCTTCAATTTTATTACACCAAGTGGCTCCAAGCTGACAGTAAACAACCTTTCTTCTATTGGTGAGATGATATTGGATAAGCAAGAAATTCAAACAAACAACTTCAGTTTAAACTTCACTGAACGAGACGTTTTTCCCTCGAATATTGCAGGTTGGACATAGGTGAAGGTAAAGAAGTAAATCTTGAGAAGTGCCCTAGATCAAAACTTCATCAACAATGCATCAAATATCTTGGTCCGGTGAGTTTTATCTTCTTTTGTAGGGATCAAGTTTTCCTATAAGTTTATAATGCGACAGAAAAGGGGTTCAAATCTAGGCTGGTATATGATATTTATGCAAGGATCTGCGAAGGGATTTTCTATATTCATTTTTGAAAATTATAACCAAAATAGAGTGTTGTGCCTAATAGACAGTAGGTAATGCTACTTTACGTATGATGTGGAAGGTTAATCTGTGACATCCTCTGTAATATTTAAAAACAAGTATTCACACTTCTAAGGATATTACAATTTATTTAGTTGCATGAAGTAAGAAGAAATGTTAGGAAATCATGTTTAATGCAACTCGCAAGTTATGACTATTTATAGGTAGAGAGAGAGGCATATGAAGTTGTAATTGTGGGTGGAAAATTCATCTACAAGCAGAGTGGGAATCTTCTTGATACGAGGGTAGGTCCTGAAGATACCAAGTGGATCTTTGTGCTAAGCGTGTCGAAGGACTTGTATATTGGAATGAAGCAAAAAGGCACTTTTCAGCATTCAAGTTTCTTAGCTGGAGGAGCCACATTATCTGCAGGCAGATTAGTGGTGGAAGATGGTATTTTAAAGGTACAAATCTAACAAATTGCGATAAGTTTGCCAAATCTGCAATAGGTTTTTTCTTAAACATGATTTCCTATGAATCTAATTTTTTTGTTGCATGATCTAGGCTGTCTGGCCACATAGCGGACATTATCTCCCCACAAAAGAGAATTTTGAAGAATTTATATCATATCTCGAGCAACATAACATTGACGTCAGTGTTCTCCAGGTAGGATGCAGCATTTTTCGTAATGATTAAAACTTAAGCATAAGCAAAGACACTTTATAATTCACAATAAACTTGTCCATAAACTCATGGGAACTGACCTTAGAGCATTTGTGTAAGAGAAGCAGCTGTCAAGCTAATTAGAAGTCTTCATGTAATTAACAAATCAGTTGCAACACTTATCCTATTACCTCTTGGGGTGGCTAAAATAGTCATGGCTTAGCTTGTTAAGCTTTACTCTTTATTTTACAGAAATTCCCGAGTGATGAGGAGGAAGCACACTATATTAGGAAGGAAGGTGGTTTTGGCCTTCGTAACAGCTTATCTGCACCAGATTTTAGCCAAGCCAATGAAGAGTGCACCACCAAACACTCAAACAAGGAGAAGACTGATTCTACTACCAAGTATTGTAAAGATGCAGAAAATTCAGTTCCATTGTCAAGGCGGTCGCAAGGATTAAGACCCCAAATTGCGGTCCAAATACCACTAAGGCAAGACATATTTGAGTTGTTCCCTAAGGCTGGCCAGCAGGGAGGATCAAAAGACGACACACAGCCTTTGGATACTCCAGTAGATGGATATGAAACAGCAGAAGAATATTTATCTGATACAGAGCTCTCAGTTTCAAAGCAGAATTTATTTGATGACGAAGATGAAGAAGATTATGAAGAACCTATCCCAACAGAAAAGATAATGAAGAGAATAAATACACACAGAAGAACAAAGTCGTTCCAGTTGGCTCATCAATTATCTTGTAGATGGACAACGGGAGCTGGACCTCGGATTGGATGTATGAGGGACTATCCAACAGAGCTCCAATTTCGCGTTATGGAGGAGGTGTATTTGTCTCCAAGAACTACGTCTCCAACTCCGCCAAAATCTGCTCGACGACACACTCCTACCATCTTTTCTAGAGAAGCAACTGAAAGCAAAAGACGTCCTTTTTCTGAATCGGCAGTATTCTTTCAATCAACCCCACTAGTAGCAGAGATACAAAAATATTGTGATTAGTAGTTAGTAGAAATCAAATCATTCTTACTATACTTTTTTGGTTGTTTATTCATGAACGTAGGAAAATTTCATCATTTTGTTTTCTTCATGATCATTCTTTACAAACATAGATTTTGTAAGGCCAGACATATTCATTCTTTACCCCAATTTTTTTGTAGATATACAGAAAAAAGATCACATGAAGTCAAAATTCTTTATCAGTCAGGGTTCTTTCTCCTCCTCTTTACTCTCTAGTATTCATCTTATTAGTTGTTCCTCTTTTTTTAGCTTAAAGAATTGTAGAGACTTTGAAAAATATCACAAGTCACAGCCGAGAAAAATACAGATCAATCTGAGGTTTGAGGTTTACATCATCTTTACATACCTATGTAATATTCTTAATTTAATTACAAATAAATTGCCTTCATCCTTTGATTATTATGACTCATGATTTTTCTAGGATGTTTTAACTAAATCTACTATAGTATGCTGATACTGCTTCCTTCAAAAATTGCAAAGTTAAAAAATATTGGATAATTTTAAGTTTTGTTCCAACTGATGTTTTGTGCATTAGAAGTATAGAGCACAACTGATGAAAGAGTTCAAATTGACAACAATTATAATTCCAAATTAGAGAGATCTCAGGTTCAATTTCCATCCCTCGAGTTCATTTCCTCAAAATGAAGGTTTGTGTCCAATTTATTAATAACTTGGCATTCTCCTTATTAATAAGTTTTAGAGGGTTTTCACATTGTCTTGAATATTGCAAATATAATTTATGTAAACTAAGTGATAAAATGGGGAAAAAATCTACACTCTTAGGGTGTGTTTGGTACGAAGGAAAACATTTTTCGGAAAATATTTTCCAATTTTTCCATGTTTGGTTGGCTTAAATATTTTGAAAAATATTTTTCTTATGAACTCAATTGCAGGAAAATATTTTCCTTATCAATAGAAGGGAAAATATTTTTCAAAACTGCTTCTCAACCTTCTCACCCTCACCCACCAACCCCACACCCTCACACTCACCCACCTAACCCCACACCCTCACACTCACACTCACACTCACCCACCTAACCCCACCCCCTCTCTCCAAAACTAGTCAAAGGAGAGTCTGCCTTATTCTTCTTCCGTTCGAGACCCCTATTTTCTCGGAAATAGCCTGGTGTGAGTTAGAACAACAGATTTGTGAGCAAGAGCGTATGATTTCTGGTAAAAAAGTTTGGTGATCACCCTAATATACTTATGGTGATCCGAATCCCGATTTCCAGTATTTATGGCTAAACTTTAATGGGGCCAAAAACTAAATATTGGACACGTGGAAGGTCACTCTGTGCAAATTCTTGGAAAAAAATCGCAAGTCTTGGCCCAAGCCCAATTTATTCTAGCGGGCCGGATGAACAACGAACCTTTTAAGATTGTTTTGAATCCCTAAAAGCAAGTATAAATTAAAACCAAACGAAACCTGGTTTCAGCCAAAAGCCTTGCAAGTACGCCGCCGCTAACTCTCCTCCTCTCCAGCGAATTATTTCTCCGAGTGAATCAAAGTGTACGTCTCTCTTCGTAATGAATTTTCATTGTAAAACGATAATTTTAGTTGAATTGCACTATAATGTTGTGTTTGCTTAAAGTTTATATAGTTTTTTTTGTCTGTTTTCGATGTGATAATGGCTCTAAGTTGTGATTTTCAACTAATTTTTACCTTTTCTTAGAATCTAGGGACTAATTACAAAACCCTTTATTCAGTTATGCAATGGCAGATTTTTTATGGGCTATATTCATTTTGCACCTTTCACTTTTATTTTATTTTGGTAATGATAATGATACAAGTTGAGCATAAAAAAAGAAATTAGAATTCATATCGCCGAACCAACCTGTTTGGGATCGAGGCATAGTTGTTGTATATTCATTTTCCACCTTGATATCTTCTATACTTGTGGATTAAGAAGTTTGTTGTTGTTGGTCTTTATCTGTGTTTTTGTTTTGATCAGATGGGCTCATGGGGCATTAGATTTAGAGACAGTGATATTCTTGTGCGGACTTGTTCATGAGAAATCTTTATTTGTAATCGGGTTGCATATGTTCTTAATGCAAAAAAATATGAATTGTTGTCTTGTTGTTGCAATAGGTGTATGAGAGAAATATGAAATTCTGCATTTAAATGGACTTACTGTGAGCTAGCGTCGAGGTTCTGCTTGATGCCTCCTAAGATATGAAGCAATAGAATATCAAAATTAAGTTGATTTTTAATTTGACGTAAAAGAAAGTCTTGATGTAAAAGAAAGCCTTTGTTGCGTTTTAGTGGATTTGTCTGGCTTGGCTATATTGCTCTTTTTCAGTGAATCACAAAAGACCATGTTACATAAACTTGTACTGGTTACTTTTTGTACTTTTTTATAAGCAATTTTAGTGTATTATGAAGAATCCACACAAATACCAACTCCATGTAGGCTGTAACATAGCTGAAAGGGGCAGTTCGATTGAAAGCAAGATTCGCTTGCGAAAATAACATGCCAACTAATTAATCATAAGAAATCAAGAAGTCCCTATGTTCCAATTTATGTTGCATAGTTTGGCTCAACAGAGTTTAAGAAAGAAAAAGAAATACTTTTGAAACTTGTGGTCTTAAACATGCTATAACATTTGTGTGGCTATAAAAGCTTTTTAATTAAGACTAAAATGATAAGCTTAAAGTCAAATTGTATCGAAATATTGAAATGTGTCATTCTTTTTGGAATGGACTAGTAAGGTAATAGTGTTACATAAGCTAGAACATAGTGAATAAACAGTTGTGTGTACAAAAGGTAAAAGGTTAAAATATCTTCTGTACTTTCATAAATATCTCAACCCTATATCATGGTTTTATTGAATGCTTTTGATTTGAGAGCATGTTGAGGGCATGTGGTTACAGAAGCGCCACTACTTTGTTTGGATGTCTAGGTGTTCTTTAATGCATATTGTCTCCATAGTTGAACTGGAAAATGGTTGTTTGCTATAGCATCATATGCTTTAACAGTTACAGATGTAGGAACACTTTTTCTATTGAACGTTAAAAGCTACTACATATTTTGCACTATTATTTGCTAAGGTATTCCTATCGCTATGCTCTGGCATGAATTTTTGGCATTTTGTGCTGTTGCTTTATTCGATCTTTCTGTCATTTCCTCCCACCATTATTTCTTAAATATATATTATTTCTTCAGAATGGAATCTGCAACCAAGCATGCTATTGTGGTGAAAGTCATGGGCCGCACAGGATCAAGAGGGCAGGTGACTCAGGTGAGAGTGAAGTTCTTAGATGACCAGAACCGGTTTATCATGAGAAATGTCAAGGGACCAGTCAGAGAGGGAGATGTTCTCACACTGCTGGAGTCTGAGAGGGAAGCTAGGAGGTTGCGCTGAGCAATTCATTTATTGTCGAGATGGTTTTGATAGACCCTTGTGGTCCGGCTCTTCCCCGGACCCTGCGCATAGCGGGAGCTTAGTGCACCAGGCTGCCCTTTTTATGGTTTTGATTACCTTGATACTGTGATAGCTATTGTCTTAGTCCTCCAAGAAAAATGTTTGGTATTGTTTTCAGGACTTGTGCTAAGTGTGTAGTAGTAGCATATATTTAGAACTGTTTGGTGATGCTTTTGACCATGAGGGTTGAGTAATTTTTTTTCTCTTGCAAGTTATTGCTGGAAAATGCTGTGATGTCCTTATTGATTCTTTTCATGGCTGTTTCTAACTTCCCAGTATGCTAGTCTGAAAATCTATTTTCAGCAACTTTCCTCCGTCATTCTATTAATTGATCTTTGAGCATGTCTTATGTTCTTATCTTGTGAAAACTTAACAACATGCGCAGTTGCATTCTAGAAGAAGAAAGTCATTTTGTAAGATATGTAATGTTTGGTCCAGTTTGAGAATAAAGTAAAATATGATACAACACCAGAGAAGTGATCCAGTTTATTTTTTTTTATTCTTGAAGAAATAAATGAGAAAAGTTGCATGTCAATTAAAGTATTATACTGGTACAGTTTTTTGTAATGCTTTTGTTACAAAACAAGTCCCAAAATCAATATGGAGCTAATTATCTCTAAGTGTGTATTGTAAAGAAAAAATTAATCCAAGTTGAAGACAATAAGAGGAATGAAGTAGGAGGTCATTTAAGTGCATCCCAATTCATTAGTTATAGCTCAGCCAAATTTCTCCCTGAAAAATAGCATATATTTGAAACTATGCTATAATGATTATTGACATAGCAAATGGTTGATTAAAGGATTTACTTACCATTAATTATTTACTTATTACATGTGTAATGTGAGTAATATTTGGGGTCCTATATTTTGGGACCTAAAGCCTTGGTTTTAGCTGCTTGGGGTTGAACCGCCCCCGGTGAACAGAAGCGTAGTTTAGTTGCAGTGTTTTTGAAAATTTATGAATATTTGCAGAAAAGCTCTTCACGTAAAATACCTCAAAAGCAATAAATTAAACAAACAGCCTCGTCTAATAATTTCTATTACTTTACAACAACATATCCAGTATTATCCCATACCGTGGGATCTGGGAGGGTAGTGTGTACGCAGACCTTACCCTTACCTTGTGAGGATAGAGATGATGTTTCCAATAGACCCTCTGCTCAGGAAAGTATAAGCACTACTGTGATGACCCAAAATGTCATCTTTAAATTTAATTATTAATTCTATATTCTAAAATCTCGAAAAGCACTATTTATTATTTCTCGACTTGCGTGCGCAGTCCGTAAAATTTTTCGGAAAGTTTTTATGTGAAAAATAGATTAAAATATAAAATAGAGCCTTAAAACTCAACTGAGTTGACTTTGGTCAATATTTTAAGCAAACAGACCCAGTTCAGTATTTTGACAGTTCCGGTAGGTCCATATCGTGATTTGGGAGATGCCCCGAATTTAATTTGGAAGTCCCTAGCTCAAGTTATGACCATTTAACGGAAACTAATAATTTAAAGGCTAAAGATTTCCAAGTTTGACCATGGGGTTGACTTTTTGATATCGGAGCCGGAATCTGATTCTGAAAATTTGAATAGTTCCGTTATGTCATTTATGACTTGTGTGCCAAATTTGAAGTCATTCCGGATTCATTTAATATGTTTTGGCACAAGTTTTGTGAATTGAAAAGTTTGAAACTTAAAGTTTGAATCGAAGTGTGAATTGTAATTTTGATGTTGTTTGACGTGAATTGAAATCCCGAGTAAGTCTGTATTATGTTTCTAAACTTGATGGAATATGCGGACGAGGTCCCGAGTGGCTCGGATGAGTTTCGGACGAGCCACATAGCAATTGGAACCTGCTGCCCAGTGCTGGTTCTGGAGTATCGCACCTGCGACATTTTGTGCACAGGTGCGTGGTCGCTCCTGCGGAATTTCAGTCGCTTCTGCGACATTGGACAGCCCTGCCGAGCTCCGCTTCTGCAGAGAAATGAGCGCAGGTGCGAAATCGCATCCGCGATGGACGAGCCGCTTTTGCGAGGAAGACCGTTTCTGCGGTCACTAATGCACTTCTGCGATGTCGCAGGTGCGACATTTTTGGGCGCAGATGCGGCCACTGGACAAGCTGCCCTATTCCGCAAATGCAAGCTTTGTCTCGCAAATGCGAGGCCACAAGTGCGAAAATATAGCCCGCAGATGCGAAAATACTGGGCAGAATACATAAAATCGGGTTTTAGTCATTTTTACTCATTTTTGAGTTTTAAGTCTCGGATTTTGGGCGATTTGAAGGAGTTTTTCACGACTTTGAATTGGGTAAGTGTTCTATAACCAAAAATGATTATATTTCATGAATCCATGTCTATATTCATCCTTTATTTCAGATTTAGATGGAAGAAATTGGAATTTTTGTAAAACTTTTCAAAAATTTAGATTTGAAGGTCCATTTGACATCGGAATTGGATAATTTTTATATGGTTGGACTCGTCTCGGAATGGGTGTTCGGATTTCGTAAGTTTTTCCGAGATTCAAGACATGGGCCCCACTATCGATTTTTAAAATGAATTTCAGATTTTAATCCGAAAAATTAGTAAATTCATATGGAATTAATTCCTACAATTTGTATTGAATATATTGAATTGTTTATGACTAGATTCGAGGATTTCAGACACTAATTCGCGAGGCAAGGGTATATTGGAAACTTGAAATTTAATTTTGAAGCGAGGTAAGTGTTGTGATTAACCTTGACTTGAGGGAATAGAACACTTAAATTATTTGTTATGTGAATTGCATGTGAACGATGTATAAGCGAGGTGACGAGTGTCTATACGTCATCAAATTAATTATTTGCATAATTATTTAAAAATCATAAATCGTTTTAAATCATGAATAAATTATTATATTAATTGTTTCACTCATAATTCCTTGTCAAATATTAATTCTTGAATTCCTGTAATAATTGCTACATGATTATTTGAATTATGTGCATTAATTGCTACTTGATATTTAGCATATTAAATATTAAATTGCCTATTTTCTCCCTGGTTTCCATAATAAATTGTTATTTGTCATTATTTTTTTCATAATTAAATCATAATTATTGTGTGCTTGTTGTCTTATAATTTTATATTAATTATTGCATTTATTGGGGTAATTTCTTCTATGAGAATTGGTAAATGAATATATTGAAGGATCGGGTTGCACGCCGCAACAGAATTGATTAAAATGAATATATTGGAGGATCGGGTTGCACGACACCGCAACAGAATTGATTGAAATGAATATATTGGAGAATCGGGGTGCACGCCGCAACAGACTTATTAAAAAGTCTATATATATACTTGATTAAATAAATATATCGGAGAGTTGAAAATGAATATATTATGAAAACGGGTTGCACGCTGCAACAGAAATTGATTGAAATAATAATTGAGTATGACTTTGGCTTCAACTATTAAAAATGAGTTACCTGATTTATTTCTATTATTGTTGTTTTACTAATATTGCGTACATGTTAATGTAAGTGACCCGCCTTAGCCTCGTCACTACTTCGTCGAGGTTAGGCTCAGCACTTACCAGTACATGGGGTCGGTTGTACTGATACTACACTCTGCACTTCTTGTACAGATTTCGGAGTTGGTCCCAGCGGCGTACCATAGACTTGCTCGGATTTTAGCTACTCAGAGGAGACTTGAGGTATAACTGCACAGCGTCCGCAGTTCTGAAGTCCCCGTCTATCTTAATTTAGCTGTGTAATTTATTTCAGACAGCTTTACTTTATTCAGACCTTTATTTGTATTATTCTAGATGCTCGTGCACTTGTGACACCAAATTCTGGAATGGTATTTAGATACCGTTATTTTTATGGATTATTCACTACATTTCAGACCTTACTTCCGCAATTGTTCTTTGTTATTAAAAAAATTAAAAATTATTTAAAAATGGCTAATATTATTCTAACATTGGCTTGCTTAGCAAGTGAAATGTTAGGTGCCATCACGGTCCGAAGGTGGGAATTTCGGGTCGTGACAATTGGTATCAAAGCACTAGGTTATATAGGTCTCACGAGTCACGAGCAAGCTTAGTAGTGTCTGAAGGATCGGTACAGAGACGTCGGTACTTATCTCTCAGAGGCTATGAAGTTTAGGAACAATATCACTTCTTTCTTATTCTATCGTGCGGTTTTATTCTATCATCGATAATTGAATCATTCTACTCTTATTCTCTCGCAGATGGTGAACACGTAATACATCTACTGATGGATAGGGACCAGAGCCCCCGATGACAACTATGGCCAGGGGTAGAGGTCGAGGCTGGGGTTGTGCTAGAGGCAGAGGCAGGAGTAGAGCTCAGTCTAGAGCTCGAGCAGCAGCTCCTGTTATAGAACCTCAGGTGGACTTTCAGGAGGAGGTTCCAGTTCAGAATGTACCAGTTGGACCAGTTCAGGTCCCGGAGGGATTCATAGCCACCCTAGTGCTTCAGGACGCTCTAGTCCGGTTGGTGAGTCTTATGTAGGGCGTGGCCCAAAATGGTACATTTCCAGTGGCACCAGCCGTCTCACAGGCTGGGGGAGGAGCACAAACTCCCACTACTCCAGCTCCGGAGCATATAGCTCCCCAGAATCAGGCTCCAGCAGCCCCGCCATTTGGGGTAGTTCACCTAGTTATTGCGGCAAAGACCACTGATAGGCCCGCCATGTCTTTTGAGGCCTTATTGATACTGGATAAGTTTATCAAGCTCTTTCCAGTTCACTTCAGTGGTACACCTTCTGAGGATCCATATGAGTATCTAGAACGCTACCATGAGGTGCTGCGGAACATGGGTATAGTTGAGATCAATGGGGTTGATTTTGCTGTATTTCAGATGACGGGTTCCGCCAGGAGATGGTGGAGGGATTATACATTGACTAGACCAGTTGGATCGCCTGCACTTAACTGGGAGCAGTTTTCTCAGCTATTTCTGAAGAAGTTCCTTTCTATCACACTGAGGGAGGATTACCGAAAGCAATTTGAGCGTCTACAGCAGAGCAGTATGACTGTTACTCAGTATGATTCCCGTTTTGTGGATTTGGCCCGTCATGCTCTCCTTTTACTACCTACTTAGGGAGAGAGAGTGAGGAGGTTTATTGAGGGACCCACTCACCCTATCAGGCTTCAGATGGCCAAGGAGACCGGAAGTGAGATTTCTTTTTAGGCGGCTGCTAATGTCGCGAGGAGGGTCGAGATGGTTCTTGCATAGGAGAGAGGGCAGAGGTCTGATAAGAGGCCTCATCAATTCAGTGGTTTCGATGGTGCCTCGTCTGGAGGCAGGGGTAATTTTGGTAG